AACACTATACAATGGAGTTGAGAAAAATAAGGAAGAAGTCAGGAAAGCACTACAGGAACAATCAAATAAGATAGATAGAGCATTGGAAACAATTCAAAACCTACAGAAAGAGATCCAAACGATTAATAATAGAATATCAGAAATGGACAACACACTGAAAGGGCAAAGGAATAGAATTGAAGTGAGAGAGAAAAAACAGCAAGAAAACTCTATGGTACTCCGTGCTACTCTCTAGTACACAGACTTGTCGTGAGCTGGAATTGACTCTATGGCATTGGGTAGAGGGTTTAGACACCGTAAGATATTGGAGGAAGGGGCTAAGGCAGGGGCCTAATAATACTCCCTTCCTGCAAGACGAGCAAGTTCTGGTGACACAGTGGTTAAGCACTTGGCTGATAACCAAAAGGTCAGGGGTTTAAACCCACCAGAATCACTAACAGGAGAAAGAGAGAGCAGAGTGTGCTTTCATAAACACACACAGCCTTAGAAACCCTGAGGGCCAGTTCTACTCCGTTCCACGGGGTCACCATGAGCCAGAACCCACTCTAAGGCAGTGGGTGTTTTTGGCGTTCGGGCAGGGCCAAGCACATTTCTTGGATCTTTACAAACGCACTCTGATTTTCCCAACACCTACAAAAGGAGCCTTGAGTAGGTGGTATGGGTATATCTCACCTGAGGCCAGGGTAACAAAAGGTGGGGTGAGACTCAGAAGTATACGCATGGGAGCACCCATTGGCCTTCTCAGGGGATCACAGATATGGGGTAACAGGACATCTGGAGGAAGGAAATATAAACGATGGGCCAGAAACTCACAACGGGTCCTTGAATGTCACATCTGTGTTGTTGGTGATCTTGATCCCCACGGCTCGTGAGACTTCCATGTGCTCCTCCACCATGTCCTCCAGCAATTTCTTCTTGGAGACCACTACAAACTTCCGGGGCTCCCTGAGATTGGGGTGAGAAGAAGGTCTGGCTTCCAGTGAACAGATATTTTTGGAGCCCTGCCCAGTCACCAGGGGTCAGTGTCAACTGATAAGGGTATTGTGGAGTCCTTGTGTGGCGCTGCAGGATAATGCACCGGACTACAAGGTTATCTTGTGAATAAGCCCTTTAGTCTGGGAACTAGAGGGGTCTGACACAACTGAGACTTAGTGAGCCCAGAACTCCTTTTATTGAAACCACCAGAAGTTGCTTTTCAGAAAACCAGATATATTCGAATCGTGAGACACACAGAACTGGAAAATCGATCCTCTGAAACACCTCATCCCATAATAAGTACTAACACAGGAACCAAAAGAATCCTTCTCAGGAATGAAAATCACCTGATGTAAGTCACCAGGAGATATCTGGACTCATTTCAAAAGCAAGGAGTCTGACAGTGACTTTTGGACCAAGTCCTAACATTGCTCCTCTTGAATAATTCATGCCACTTTCTAGAAACGTTATTAATATGCATAACCTTCTTAATCCCCTGAAAGCATAAACATTTCTTGATCCTTGGTTCCAGGAGACAGTGCTTTGAGAATAACCTCCCCATCTCCCTGCTTGTTCCAAGTCATAGAACTTTGCTGTGCTTAAATCTGCGTAACTATATGTTATTTTAAACCAGAGATCAGCCCTTGAGATCAGTAACAGTGGTGAAGTGCTTCAAAAAAAAAAAACCCCATGGAACTCAGTTCCATTCCATAACACATGGGATTATCATGCCTCGGAATCAACTCTATGGTAGTAGCTTTGGCTTTTGGTTTAATTTGAACTAGATCACAGGTTGTTAATGAGTCTTCCTCCAATCCTGATACCATGTTTTTCTTCAAATAACCCAGCTTCTTGGATTATGTGCTCAGCATACAAGTTGAATAAGTATGGTGAAAGAATACAACCTTGTTGCATACTTTTCTCAATATTTTAACTTTTTTAAAGATTTCAATATTTTAAAGATGTCTTTTTTACCTGGGAGAACATCGGTTTTACACTCATTGTGTCATTGCAATGATTACAATCTCCTCGTGCATCATCATTCAACAGTATTTGCTTCTATTCCCCCTGGTTTTTTTGGGGAGAGAGTGGGGGTGATATATACCAAAACACTCTGTAATATATAATCATTTAAAGCAACCAAAGGGCACATTCTGCAAGCCTGCCTCCTGGCCACCAGCACACAGCCTTTCTCTTTCCATGAGTCTAGAGTCCTCAGCTGCTCCCTCTCTCCATGTCCTCATCTCTGCCTCCATCTCTGGTGTCACTGCTTCTCTGGATAGGGTCCCACATTCCATTCATGCTCTTTTCCCTGGATGGTCCTAGTGTTCTCTGTTCCTGGAATGTAAGATTAACTACTCCCTCCTTTATTTTTTTAAAATGTTTTATTGTGAATTATGTGATAGTTTACATGGGAGAGCATTAGTATATTTCATTGCCATGGTTACAATCCCCTCCATGCATCATCAACCTCCATACCCTGCAAGCCTGCCCCCTGGTGGGCAGCACACAGCCCCTCTCCCTCTCTGGGTCTAGAGTCCCCGGTCGCTCCATCTTTCCACATCATCTCTGCCTCCATCTCTGGCATCACTGATTCTCTGGGTAGGATCTCGCACTCTGCTCTTCTTCCTTGATGGTTCCAGGACTGCAAAGTCAATTACTCCCCTCCTTTTGCTACAAAATGTCTACCTTTACTATTCCAACCCTCACAGTCAGTCCTGATAACAATTATTCACCAGAGTGCCACAAGGGACCTATCCCCATCTCCTTTCATTAGCCCCACCCAGACAGATTGGATACTACTCAGTGGAGATTCTACCTTACTCCGTGCCCTCTGGATCTAGGCTCCCTCTTGAAAGCTTATAAGCCAATCACTTCTTGCCTTTGAAGCACCCCCATTTTGGGTAACCAATGTCCAAGTTGCCCATCCCTGTCTACTCTGTGTATAGAGGGGGTGGGAATGATCCTTGCTGTAAACATTTGTTTCCTCTTTTGAGTTACTGCATCCATAGGTGTAGGTCAAGTTCATCAAATTGTATCAGATTACTCTTTTTTCCCCTCTTGTTTCTTCTTCTTCCAGTCATTGAAGCCAGGTCAAGTGGGTATTATCTGCAAGTGTGGGTGTTCTTATGCATATGCCCTCTCTTCTTATCAGCTGGATGCTTCACTCTCCACTCTAGTCCTCTGTGGCTATGTCACTGACTCTGGGCTCAAGAGTCCCCAGGTCTTGCCACACTGCTAGCCAACCAGGTCTCCACCCAGGTTCACAGGAGTCTATAGAATGTTGTAGGGCTTAGTTTACTGCTTCATTGCTGTTTCTCCCTCACTTTCCCCTATTAGTGATGAACGTGGTCACCAATCAGAGCGTATGTCTGCTTGTGTATTCCCATTGAGTGTTAGTCTTGGAAGGGGGTTTGCCTTGAGGGGACCTGACCACTTGCCTTGATGTCTCCTGGGCAAGCAACTTGCTTGTTCTTGTAATCAGTCGGACTGCCTATATTGTTTTGTATTTTTCCTGTCAGTCTTTCTTTCAAGAAGTATCTTCTGTTCTTCTAGCTACTCCAGGCTGGTTTGCTTGTCCTTTCAAGTGGAAATTTCCCACCTCAGAAGATTCTGGATTCGGTTCAGGATTCCACCCATGGTCTTATGTAATGCAGAGGCTCCACAGGAAGCCTCCTTCACTGGGCATGTTGTAGCCCCATTTTAGGTATTCCAATCAGTTATAGGCAAAAGACGGACTTACAAGCTTTCTATGGTAATATTTCTAGCTATTCCTTTCTCTCCCCCTCAAGTGTCTATTTTATAATGGTATGCCAGGGAAATCAAGATTCAAAAGACAGCCAAGCATCTTAACATTATTTCCCTCCTTTTGCCCATTCCAACCATGGCTCAATCCCTGTATCCCAGAGCCCTGTTGTTCCAAGATTGTGTATACATAGTTATTTACCTCTGTCCCACTTAGTCCATGCAAACCTGCCTAATTGTTTTCCCATCTGTCTTGTTCTTCCATTCCCCTCGCCCTTCTTGTGTATTGCTCCTACTCCCTCTTTTGTGTTACAAAACTTCTACCTTTACAGTTGTGACAATCATAATTAGTCATGATAACAATTACTCACTGTTGAATTTTAAGAATCTTATTCCCATCTCCTTTCACCAGACCCACCTAGACAAGATGAAAACTATTCAGTGGGGACTCTACCTTCCCCCGCACACTCTGAAACTGAACTACCTCTTGAAAACCTGTATGTCAGTTAAAGATGTCTTTTGCTGCAGATTTGCCTCATCCAATACACCATTTGATTTTTTTTTTGACTGCTGCTCCTTTGGATGGAGTCCTAGTGTGGCACTATAGGATAAGCACTGGATCACAAGGTCGGTTAGAACCACAAAGTCGGCAGTTCGAACCCACTAGTCGCTCTTCAGAAACACTATACAGGGTCACTATGAGCCGGAACCGACTTGACGGCACTTAACAACAACAAACTCCTTTGAACATTGATTGTGGATCCAAGTAAAATGAAATCTTTGACAACTTGCATCTTTTCTCCATTTATCAAAATGTTGCTTATTGGTCCAGTTGTGAGTATTTTTGCTTTCTTTATGTTGAGGCGTAATTGAACCCGAAGGCTGTGGCCTTTGATCTCCTTCACTAAGTGCTTCAAGTCCTCTGCATTTCCAGTCAGCACAGTGTGCCATCTGACCACTGTAGGTTGATGATGACTCTTCCTCCAGCCCTGATGCCACGATCTTCACATAATCCGGCTTCTCGCTTTATTTGCTCAGCAAACAGACTGAATAAGTATGTTTTGAGAGGTTCTGTGGTGTTTGTTTTTTTTAAGGAATTGGAGGTTCTGTTCCATATTTCTCTCCCATTCTATCAGAGTCCATCTATTGTGACCCTGATTAAGATGGTCAGTAGTGGGTGGGATCTGGGTACCACCTAGTTCTGGTCTCAGGGTAGATGAAACCGTAGTTCCCGTTTATGTGAATTAATTTCCCTTTAAACACTGATTCCCATCCATTGTGATTTTGTTTGTTGACTTTTTGACTTATTGAATCTCTATCTCCTCCTCATCCCTCTACCCCATCAAGTTCCTGGAAGACAGGCGTCAGGTCTGTGTTGCATTCTGGTTTATTATCAAGGCCCAGCACCTGAGTGGCTCATCAGAGAAAATCTAGAGAAATTGGTGGAGTGAATGAATGCATAGAGAGCAAAGTTTCTACGACCATCTACCTACCTCGCCAAGTTCCTCATCTCTCTGAGTATAATGTCCTTGTTATGACTGACGTTCTTCTTGGATAACTCCAGGAGCTGTGTTACCACTTCTTGAGTGTAGCTGTCTGCCAGTTTGATTGTGCCATAGCTGTCAATCCATGACTGAATATCATCTAAAGTACAATCAAACCAATAAAGAAAACCTAAGTACGTTTGGACAATTAATTCAACCAATTTTTGTCTACTTAAACTGGGTGTTAGCAAACAGCTATGGGGTGAATCCGGCCCACCACTTGATTTTGTAAATAAAGTTTTATTGGCACACAGTCACATCTATTTGTATTTGTGCAGCTGCTTTTGCATTGCAATGTCAGAACAGAGTTCAGATCACACATCCTGGAAGCTGGTCCTTTCAAGTGACTTCTTAACTGAGATGGGATGATGTTTGTGGGGTGCCCAGGTCAAAGAAGTCAGGTATTCAAGCAGGACAAGAATGTTCCAGAAAGAAGAAGCAACAATAGAAACATTCAGGGTTGAGAGAGAGCATGACAATCTCCAAGAGGTCAAAGAATGAACAGGATGGTGGCATCCTGCCCCAATCTCTTGACCACTCAACAGTGGAGAATGGGCAAGGTAGCCCCTGGGCATAACTGAATCCCATTCAGTTTGGCCTGGTTGCCCTCATCCTGTAGGTAGGAACCCTGGACCTACCTCCACATGCTTCTGTATTGAACAAGGGAAAGTGCATCACAACAGGTCCCGTTTCCCCTTTAAAGATGTAGCAGTCCGAGGGGGATCTGGACCACTCCTGCAGGTCAGCCTCTTTCACGGGAGGGAAGGGGATGTCATGGCGGCGGCAGTAATCAGCAGTAGCCCTGATGGTCTGAGAAGGAGGCAACAGGGACTTGTCTTAGAGACTGGCTAGAAGACCCTGGGAGCCTGGTACCCACCAGAACCTCAGAGACCAGCCTAGATGTACAGCAGAGCAGAGGTTGGCTTGGAGATGAGTGATGTCATCTGAAAGGGAAAGAATCGCACTTCCGCCACCAACCACACGCTCACCTCTGACCTCAGGTAGTTCAAATGAAGCACAATGTCCACAAGGTTTGCGAGTCACTTTAGGAGCTGGGGACAGGGAAGACTCAGAGGATAAAAAAGGTACACAGATGGGGTATCTGAACCCAGCTCTATCACTAACAGGTGTGTGGGGTCAGCCTGTCAAAGGGGTTTCATTATATCTACCTCACTGGGATGTTTTGAGGATAAATGAAATATTTCACACCAAGTTCCAGGGAGGTAAGAACGGTTAGCCACTTGGCTGTTAACCAAAAGGTTGGAAGTTCACATTTCTACTCTGACAGACGTGAGGTCACCATGATTCTGGGTAACTTGATAGCAAATGGTGGACTAGACCACATACTAGCTGAGATGAACCCACCACATCTGAGACGTGCACATCTGAGGAAGGAGACTCACAGCAGAGGGTAAAACCACAACATACCAAACAGATGTGGCTTGTAAGAGGGGAACCAGACAGATGTGGCTGGTTAAGTGGGGAACCAGAAAGATGTGGATGGCAAGTGGGGAACCGGACAGATGTGGCTGGTAAGAGAGGAACCAGACAGATGTGGCTGGTAAGTGGGGAACCGGACAGATGTGGATGGTAAGTGGGGAACCGGACAGATGTGGATGATAAGCAGGAACCTGGACAGATATAGATAGTAAACAGGGACCCAGACAGGACAAGACCATCTACAGTAAGAAAGGTCAAGGGAATCTGACTGGTTCTGATGATGTCAGGCATCCAGGGGCTCAGCACCAAGAGATGAACTTATTTGGCTTCTCCAGTTCCCCAACTAGCACCTGCTGAGATGTCCCCCTCCCATCCCTTACCCTCAATTCCTTTCAAAGGCTGGCTCAGTGTCAACTCCCCTTCTTACCCCAGAACCACTCCCAAGACCCTTCTTGGTTACCTCAAAAGGATCCCCTGCACTGAAGTCAAAGGAGAGAATGAGGTCAGCCTCCCGAATCGGGGGGAGAACAAGCGGGTAGGAGGTGTTGATGGCAAGGCCGGCGTCTATCAAGTGGAGAACTTCTCGTCCATTCATAACCTTGTCTCTGATGTCACCTGCAGGGCCCAGAAAGAGTCAGTCAGCCGGCCTCCTCAGGCTGAAAATGAAACTTGTAAACATTAGGCCAGCTGCTGTAGTGTGTGGACTCTGGCTCACAGCGCCCCCTTGTGAGTGAGAGCAGAACTGAGCTCCACAGGATTTTCAGTGGCTGATTTTTTGGAAGTAGATCACCAAGCCTTTCTTCCGAGCTGCTCTGGGCAGGGGACTTGAACCTCGTCTTCCAGTTAGCAGCCGAGTGTGTTGACCATCTGCACCACGCAGGGACTCCTTGCAAACATTGTTGTAGTTAATTGCCATCAAGTTGGTTCTGACTCATTGCAACCCTGTATAGCGTTTCTGAGGAGTGGCTGGTGAGTCTGAACTGCCAACCTTGTGGTCCAGTGCTTACCCTATAGCATCATTGTTGTTGTTGTTGTTAAGTGCCGTCGAGTCGGTTCCGACCCATAGCGACCCTGTACAGGGTTTCCGAGGGTGTAAATCCTTACGGGAGTAGAAAGCCTCATCTTTCTCCCGCGGAGCGGCTGGTAGTTTCGAACTGCTGACCTTAAGGTTCGCAGCCCGATTCGTAACCACTACGCTACCATAGCATCATAGCAGAATTAAAATTAAAAAAAAAAAAAGAATTCTCACTATTGTTGTTGTTTTTAAGTGCCATCGAGTCAATTCCGACCGATAGCGGCCCTATAAGGGTTTTTGAAGTCTGAGGAGCTGCTGGTGAGCTTGAACCACCAACCTTGCAGTTCAAGCGGCTTTGCAATCTTACGCATTAACCCACAGCACCACAGTAGGACTCCCACTATTGTTGAGGGCGGTGGAAAATAGCAAATGTTTTGCTTGTTGGAAAGTAAATCCATCCAGGTCTTCTGGCATGAAATTTGGTGATAAAACATTCATTTATCCCCCTGGCAAGATGGTTCACACCTGATAGTCCATTCCAAGGCAGGAATGTTAACACGGAATTTCTGGAGAGTGTAAACAATTAACGAGCTTGGGTGCTAACCACCACCACCACCCTTCTCTGCTTTCTTTGGAAGCTGGACCACGAATAAGGAAGACAGGAGAAGAAAGGATGCCTTAGAATTACGGCATTGGTGAGGAATATTGAATACACCAGAGACTGTCAGAAAAATAAACCCATCCATCTTGGAAGAAGTACAACTAGAATGTTCCATAGAAGTCAGGATGGGGAGACTTTGCCTCATGGACCTCAGAGAAATCATCAGGAAGGCCCAGTTCCTGGAGAAGGACATCATACTTGGTAAAGTGGAGGGTGAATGAAAAAGAGGAAGACCCTCAATGAGACGGATTGACACCAAGGCTGCAACAATAGGCTCAAATGTAACAACAATTGTGAGGGCGGGGCAGGAAGGGCAGTGACTGATGTTGTACAACTGCACCAATCAACAATAGAATCCTCAACCGTTGGCTGATGGGAGTTGGTGGAGGCTCAGCATCTCTGAGCATGTGGGCTACACCGTCTCCCAGAAACTCCGGTGGGACTGGGCTCTGGCCGGCCAAAGCTGCAAGTTACTTGATAATGGACCCTTTCTAGACTCTACCATTCCCTGCTTTCTGAGATCGTCTTTGAAATAAACGTTGCCAGACCTCGTTTCATTGCATTTCACTCTGTTGCGCTTTGCAGAGACTGCATTTTTTTTTTTTTTTTTTTAATTTTAGAGACTGCATTTTTCACAGCCTGAAGGTGGTGGCAACTCTACTGGCGTCACCTGTTCAACGGCATATGCTCACTTCACGCCTCTGTCACACACTGATAACTTTCTCAAGATTTCCAGCTTTTTCATAATGTTATTGTACACTTAAAAGGAGCCTGGCAGGTGCAGTGGGTTATGCGTTGGACTGCTCACCACAAAGTCAACCATCAAATCTACCAGCTGCTCCCTGTGGAGAAAGATGAGGCTTTTTGCTCCAGTTAAGATTTGTTGTTGTTGTTGTTATGTGCCGAGGAGTCAGTTCCGACTCATGATGACCCTGTACAGGGTTTCCAAGGCTGTAAATCTTTATGGGAGCAGAAAGCCTCATCATTCTCCCACGGAACAGCTGGTAGTTTTGAACTGCTGACCTTGCGGTTCGCAGTCCGAGTTGTAACCACCACGCTACCAGAGCTCCAGTTAAAGATTCACAGTCTTGGAAGCCCTATACAGGGTTGCTATGAGTCAGAACCGATTCAACGGCACACAACCACCACCACTTAACTGACTAACAAATCAAAACTCAAATCAAACCTACATCCATGAAGCCGATTCCAACGCCTACCTACCTACCGTCACTGAGTCACTTCTGATTCGTAATGACCCTGTAGAGGTTTCCAAGGCTGTAAATCTTTACAGGAACAGAAAGCCTCATCTTTCTTCCATGGAATGGCTAATAGGTTTGAATGCTGACCTCTGGGTTAGCAGTCCAGTGCTTATCCTGCAGTGTCACTAGAAATCCAAATTAAAAGCGTCAGCTTTGGAGGAATACTTTCTCTCTCTGTCGGCTCTAGAGAAAGGTTTTTGTCTCCTTTCAGTATCCTTAGAGCGCCCCACGGTCTTGGCATCCTCCTCCTCTGGATCTGGGAGCTTCCACGTGCAGGGCCCCGGGTCCAAAGGATACATACACCCCACTCCCAGCTCTTCATTCCTGGTGGTGGTGGCTGGTAAGGGCCATCAAGTCAATTCTGACTCATAGCATCAAAACGACTTAGAGTCTTCTGACTTAGAGTCAAAACGACTCTAAGGAGTGGTTGGTGGGTTTGAACCACTGACCTTGTGGTTAGCAGTCCAGTACCTATCCCACAGCGCCGCTCCAGGACTCCCACTTCTGACACACAGTGATTTCTGAGACTGTAAATTGTTACGGGAGCAAGCAGCCTCATCTTTCTTCTTCAGAGCACCAGGTGGATTTGAACCACCAACCTTACAGTTAGCAAACCAATGCTTGGCTCACAATGCCACCAGGTCTCCTTGAACAGACTACAGCATAGTGTGGCACTGTAGGATAAGGCACTAGACTGCTAACTGCAAGATTAGTGGTTCAAACCCACCAGCTGCTCCTTGGAAACCTTACACAGGGATGCTATGAGTTGGAAACGAGTCGAAGGCACTTAACAACAACAACAACAATAGTATACAAATAACCAAAAATCTGTATGACTCGCTTTATTGAGACATTAGCTTTACTGCAGTAATATCAAGGCATGCCTCTGTCAGCACTTGGGAAAGAAGGATTCTGGCTAAGAACACTTTACTGGACAGGTGTACTCGGTAACACCCGAGGTCAGCGGGATTTGGAGCTGACTCAACAGCACTGAGTCTGGATGTTTGGTTTTCCTGTGAGTGCTGAGACTGCCGAGATCAATTCTACCCCAGTGGCAGGGACCAACCCTCTGAAAAATCCAGGGGATGCTTCATAGCCAGATCCTAACATCGACACCATTTCAGAGCCCAAGGACACCATCAACATTTCAAGGTTTCACAATGACTTGAGATTACACCACCAACGGGACATTTGTCGATTGGGACCCACGGCTGCCTTGCTGTCCCCATGCACACTCACGTCTGCAGCTCTGTCACAGGATTGAACCTGAGACAGTTTTGCATCTCTCCTTCCCGTCACCCTCTCCAGCCCCACCAGTGACAGACCAGGTTTATCAGAAGAGGAAAGCTCTCACCGTGTTTGTACAGAAAGTTGTGAGTGGTCCCCCATTCCCACTTCCACCAGCAGATTCCAGTTTTGTTCAGAAAGTTTACAAAGTCCTTGAACAAATCTAGAAGGAAAAACATAAAAAGTGGTCCATGGTGAGCTGGGAATGGTCAGCATTAGGGGCTCAGCGGTCAGTGCTGTCTCTGCAATTTTATGAGAGATTAATGAAAGATGAGGCGATCTGTTCCCGTAAAGATTTACAGCCTCGGAAACCCTGTCCAGGGTCGCTATGGGTCGAAACCAACTCGACGGCACTTAACAACAACAACAACAATGAAATGATCCACCTAACGTGCTTGGCCTCTTGTCTTACGAGTCATAAACGTTTCACAAATGTTAACTACTAAAGTATTTTAGAGCCCTGGTGTGTCGCTATAGGATAAGCACTGGACTGCTAACCACAAGTTCAATGGTTCAAACCCACTTACCGCTCCTTGGAAACCCTATATAGGGTCACTTTGAGTTGGAAGTGACTCAAAAGCACTTAGTAACAACGCTGTATTTTATACTCATATGCCTCCTGGACAATGAATAAGGAAGACTGAAGAAGAATTGTTGTCATTGTTGTTATGTGCTGTGGAGTAAGTTCCAACTTATAGCGACCCTGTACAGGGTTTCCAAAGCTGTAAATCTTTACGGGAGCAGAAAGCCTCATCTTTCTTCCGCGGAACAACTGGTAGTTTCGAACTGCTGACCGTAAGATTAGCAGCCCAATTCGCAACCACTACGCTACCAGAAGAAGAATTGATGCCTATGAATTATGGTCTTGGGAAAGAATATAGAATGTACCATGGACTGCCAGAAGAACCAACAAATCTGTATTAAAGGAAATACAGCCAGAATGCTCCTTAGAAGCCAGGAGGGCTAGACTTCGTCTCTCATGCTTTGGACATGCTATCAGGAGGGACCAGTCCCTGGAGAAGGACATCATGCTTGATAAAATGGAGAGTCTGAGAAAAAGAGGAAGACCCTCTATGAAATGGACCGACACAGTGGCTACAACAATGGACTCAAAGATAACAATGATTATGAGGAGGTGTGAGACTGGGCAGTGTTTCATTCTGTCGCACAAGTGACCGTTAGGAATTGGAACCGACTCGATGACACCTAACAACAGTAACAAAAGTAGTTTGTAGAACGTTGTGTCATGGGGCAGCTACAGGATGTGGCCAGAGGACTGGAGGAGCAAGAGGAGGAAGGTGGGAGGAAAGGACGCTTACCCAGGAATACACGCGTGTCACTGTTGGAAGTCCACCATCCTTGCCTGGAGAAGCAATGCACCAGGTACTCGATGAACTGGCCCCGCTCCTCCTCTGAGATCTTGCCCCAGTTCTGGACCATCTCAGACAGCCAGGTGTGCTTGCCGCCTCCGTCTTTATCTATCAGGAGAGAGCCAGTTGGCCGTTTACCTCAGACTGTGTCCATGCCACATGACAAAGAACATCCCTCAGTCCTCAGTCTATGTGACTTGCCTGCTGGTGGCCCCAGCGTTCCCTTGTTTTCCTCCTACTTCCTTGTTTGTCTTTTTACTCTGGTTGTGTGCTTCTCTGCTTCTATAGATCTCTTATACGTGAATGTCCATCAGGGTCCATTCTATGCCCTTCCCTTCCTCGACTTTCATTCAGATCCATGAATCAGGTGAACGTAAAAATATCGTAGATGTTAGCATTTATTAAATGCTCTGCTCCTCAGAAACCCTATCCAGGGTCACTACGGGTCAGAATCGACCGACGGTACTTAACAAAATCTCGCCACTTACTCCTGGAGTCTGGGTGTGGCACCCTGGGTTAATGTGCTGGACTGCAAGGTCGGTTTGAATCATAAGGTCGGCAGTTCAAACTCACCAGCCGCTCCTTGGAAACCCTATACAAGGTCGCTATGACTCAGAACCAACTCGACGGCACTTAACAACAACCCAACTTGCCACATCAGAGTCCTTGTGTGGTACTGTAGGATAAGTGGTTGAAACTCACTACCAGCTCCTAGGAAACCCTATACAGGGTCGCTATGAGTCAGAACCAACTTGGCGGCACTGAACAACAATAACTCGCCACACACCAACCTCGGCTTTCAGCATCCAGCTCCCGTTGTAGGGCCTGTAGTTTCTCCTGGACGTGGCTGGCGCTGTAATCCTTGATGTGCGCCACCACCAGCTCCAGGAGCGATTCCATCACACCTACACCTGCTCAGAGACATAAGACGTGCAGGGATGAGGAGTCTTGGTGCCACTGAGGTTAAGCACTCGGATGCTAACCCAAAAGTCGGCGGTTCAAACCCACCAGCCCCTCTGAGGGATAAAGATGAGACAGTCTAGTCTGTCACTGAAAAGGTTTCCAGTCTGGAAGCCTACAGGGCACCTCTGCTCTGTCCTAACTGAAATCAACTCCACGACAGCAGGTTTGGATTTTGAGTTTTGGTTCTTTTGTCTCCCCTCCCTGCCGCGCAGACCCTCTGGGAACCCATTTGTTGTTCATTTTTTATTCTGTTGTTGATCGGTGACTTACGAGACGCCATGTGTTACAGAGCAGGATTGCTCCATAGGGTTTCCTGGATGGAATTTTTATGTGAGCAGATCACCAGATCTTTCTTCTGCAGCACTGTTGCTGTTCAGGGCCGTTGAGTTGGCTCTGACTCACAGCAACCCTGCATAGGGTTTCTGAGGCTATAAAGTTTTATGGGAGCAGAAAGCTTCATCTTTCGCCCACAGAGGCAACTGGTGAACTCAAACCACTGACCTTGGGGTTAGCAGTCCAGTGCTTATCCTACAGAGCCACCGAGCTCCATGGAATTGACAGGTGAATTCAAACTACCAACATTTTAGTTAGCAGTCCAGTGCTTTACCATTAGTATCACCTAGGTGGGTGACTTTGGAGAACAGGAATTTAAAATCTCCCAGGGGGACATCTTTGCTTGTCGGTTTGAACCCCAACTTTGCCAATTCCTGGCTGCCTGGTCTTGGGCACATCACCTAACCCATATACTGCTGGCCTCCCATCTGAACAGTTCATGCACTACCACAGTTGGATCTGGTGTGGCATTGTGGGTAAATGCACTGGACTGCAAAGTCTGTTTGAGCCACAAGGTCAGTGGTTCAAGCTCACCAGTTGCTCTTTGGAAAACCTATACAAGGTTGCGCTGAGTTGGAACCAACTCCACGGCATTCAACAACAGCACATGACCTGCATAAGCCAGGACCTGTGTAAGGTGAAAACCTGTCAGAGATGGAGAACTCAAATGCTTTCCACTAAAACCTGAGGTAGAGAAGAGGTCACATGGCACCCTGCAAGACCTGGAAAACCAAGACCGTCCCCATGGGTTCCGGCTCTCACAATTTCACTGTCACACTTACTTCATGGGGTAACGATGAAACCACATGAATGAGTGAGCGCATATAAACTCTTGGAATAATGATTGACTTTAAGCAAGCTTCCAGTCTGTATTAAAAGTCCCTGGGAGATATAGCCAAGAATCCTGTAGGTCAGTGGTTACACACACACCTGCTCAGGAAATGGTTGGTGGTTCACACCCACGAGCTGCTCAGCAAGAGAAAGATAAGGCAGTATGTTTCTGGAAGGATTTACAGTCTTGAAAATCCTATGGGAGCAGTTCTACTTGGTTCTGTAAGTTCCCTGTGAGTTAAAATTGACCAGATGGCAACTGATCTTGAATGAAGGTGGTACAAATGGTTAAGTTTTTAACTACTAGCCCAAAGGTTATCAGTTCAAATCCACCCAGAAGTGCCTTGAAAGAAAGGCCTGGAGATCTGCTTCAGAAAAGTCACTGCATTGGATAACCCTATGGAGCACTTCTACTCTGCACACGTGAGGCCACTGTGAGTGGAAATCAACAGCAGCTAATAATAAACATCGTATGTTACATCAGTGTTTTATATCCAAGCAGCACCTACCTTCTGCGGTACTCTCCGACAGATATTTCGGTTTCAGTTTTTCTTTCAAGCTCAGTAACTGGGCTACAAGAGAGCAGAGGCAAGGGGGACGTTTACTTGTACAATGAAATCATTAGCTGTGGTGTTGGATATTCCAAAAGCAGAGACAGATAGCTCCCAGGATGCCTCTCTGAGAGAGTTTTCCATGTTGGCCGCAGCCTGCTCATACTGCCTCTCCACTCCAGAGCATCTTTTACCAAGTCCCTGATCAGTAGCATCACGTTGGTAGCTTGGAACTGTTCATGGAGGGAATATTTACACCATAAGAATTGGCAGACACTATAGATCAGGATTCTCCTGCCTCCAAGCCAGAAATCTAGCTTCCCAGTACACTCACTAGAGAAGTGTGGTTCTCCACCCACAATCTTAGTGAGGCATTTGGAGGTTGGAAAAAGACAGCTTCCCCTTTCAGCTGTTTCTTGTGAACTTGTGAACACCACTATCAAAGAACAATACTGCTTGATACACAGCAGGTACCCAATGAATATGTGATAAATGAATGACCAGTACGTTAAGGGAATCCTGTGTGGCACTGTGGGTTAATGCGCTGGACCGCAAGGTTGGCAGTTCAAACTCATCAGCTGCTTCTTGGAAATCCTACAGTATCAATAAGTCAGAACTGATTTGACAGCACTTAAAAACAACAATAGTAGGTTAAGAATGCCCTATTGTTGTTGTTAAGTGCCACTGAGTCGGTTCTGACTCATAGCGACCATGCATAGGGTTTCGAAGGAACGGCTGGTGAGTTTGAACCACTGACCTTGCAGTTCAAACCAACCTTGAGATCGAGTGCTTACTATTATTATCATAACAAAAACTAATAATAATACCATGTTAAAAACAATAACAATTCCTATGACTACTGCATCAGACATACTGCATTAGGCAAATCTGCTGCAAAAGACTTCTTTAAAGTATTCAAGAGCAAAAATATCACTTTGAGATATATACCTGACCCAAGGCATGGTATTTTCAGTCACCTCATATGCCTGTGAAGGTTAGACAATGAATAAGGCAGATCAAAGAAGAATTGATGCATTTGAATTATGGTGTTGGAGAGGAATATTAAATGTACCTGGGGCTGTCAGAGGAATAACATAAAAAAAAAATCTGTGTTGGAAGGAGGAAAGCCAGAATGCTCCTTAGAAGCAAGGATGGTGAGACTTTGTCTCTCATACTTTAGAATATTATCAGGAGGGACCAGTTCCTGGAGAAGGACATCATGTTGGGTCAAATGGAGGGTCAGTGAAAAAGAGGGAGAGATTCCCAGTGAGAGGCAGCAATGGGTTCTAGTGGAGCAATAATTGTGAGGAAAGCACAGGACTGGGCAGTGTTTCATTCTGCTGTGCACGGGATGGTTGTGAATTGGAACTGACTTAACAGCATCTAACAACAACAACTGCATCAGGAATCCTGATGTGGCATTAGACTGTTAACTGCAAGATCAGTGGTTCAAACCCACGAGCCGCTCCTTGGAAATCCTATACAGGGTTGCTATGAGTTGGAAGTGACTCGATGGTATTTAACAACAACAACAACTACATTATACAGGAAGAAAGCAAAAGACCATTTAAAAGACAGGAAAGGAAGAAAAGACCAAAATGAACATCAGAAGAGACTCTGAAACTTGCTCTTGGGTACAGAGAAGCTAAAGTGAGGACCTCATAGAGCTACAGAAAATTTCAAAGGGCAGCTTGAGAAGACAAAGTCAAGTATTACAATAAAATGTGCAAAGACTTGGAGTTAGAAAACCAAAAGGCAAGAACACATTCAGCATTTCTCAAGCTGAACGAACTGAAGAAAATATTCAAACCTCAACTTGTGGTACTGAAGGATTCTATGAGCAAAATATTGAATGATTCAGAAAGCAGCAAAAGAAGATGGAAGGAATACATAGTCACTGTACCAAAAAGAAATGGTTGATGTTCAACCATTTTCAAGGAGTAGCATATGATCAAGAGCCAAGGGTAATGAAGGAAGAAGTCCAAACTACACTGAAGGTATTGGCATAAAACAAGGCTCCAGGAACTGATGGAATCAGAAATGAAGTCTTTCAACAAACTGATACAGCACTGTAGGCTCTCACTAGTCTATGCCAAGAAATTTGGAAGACAGATACCAGGCCAACCAAGTGGAAGAAATCCATATTTGTGCTCATTCCAAAAACAGATGACCCAATGGAATGTGGAAATCACTAAACAGTATCATTAATATCACATGTAAGCAAATTTTTGCTGAAGAGAATTCAAAAATGATTGCAGTAGTTCACTGACAGGAAGCTGCCAGAAATTGAAGCTAGATTCAGAAGAGGATGTTGACTGAGGAGCTGTCATTGCTAACATCATCTGGATCTTGGCTGAAAACAGAGAACACCAAAAAGATGTTTTATTTGTGTTTCATTGACTATGCAAGCAGGCATCCTGTCGGCCATGAGCAGGAAATGTGAACTTCCTTGTATTTTGGCCTTGACCTGTCTCTTCTCCAATACTCACCCAAAATGAGAGCCCTGATGTCTTCAATTCTAGCAAGAGCACTTCCCCATAAACCTGCCAAGAAAATATCAGTAAGGTTGAAAGGTTCACCAGCACATAACTTTGAAACTTGGTACCCAAAACACCAACTGACTTTTCTAAAACACAGTGTGTATCTGCACTGGGAAAGCTGATGTTCCCCTGAGATGTTTCTTGTACTCAGTAACTATTTACCAAGCAAGTGTTGTGCACCAGCCCTCTTCTAAATGCTGGGAATACAGCTGTAAATAAAATCCACAAGGTTGCTCTCCATCCCCTTACCATGAATTCGTTTACAACCAATGATCTGGCATGCCAGTGTATAGTTATTCATACATGGGTTCATTCATCATCTTATTCTCTGGAGAGAATGACATCATCTATCCTGTTCACGGATAAATCCTCTGCATTTAAAATGCCATCTGGCTCATGTTGTTCAGTGCCATCGAGTCGATTCCAACTTGTAGTGACCCCACACGATAGAATAGAACGGTTCTATAAGGTTTTCTTTAAGGCTGTAAGCATTACAAAAAAGGATTAGCTGGTCTTTCTCCCACAGACCCGCTGCATGGGTTCAAAATGACAACCTTTTGGTTAGCAACAAGGGCTTCATATTACATGACCAGAGCTCCTCAAAAATTTTTGTTGAACAAATGAACTATCCTTAAGTTCCTATCGTGTGCTGGTCACTGGGCTGAGGGGTTTATATGTCGGTCGTATTAACTCTCGCATCCTCAGTTTGAGGTAAATACTATCACCGTCTGTCTCGGTATCAGACCTGGCGCTCTGAGGCACTTATGATGTGCCAAGCCTTCCACAAGTAAATGCCATTCCAGTTAAAGTCAAAAAATTCAGTTGAATTCCATTTTCTGTCAATATGCTTGCTTTAATTATGTTGGAGTGTTGTTTGGTCTTTATTTATTTTTATTTTTTTTGGTAATTGGGGTGACAGTTTGTTTGTTGTTTTTGTTCCGCTCTTACTTAGCTGGTGCTTGAAACACATTCTGAATCTGTTAGTTTAGAAGCTATAACTATACAATTGTGGCTCTTAGATCTTTGTTTATAGAGTCCTGGTGTGACATTGTAGGTTAAGCACTAGACTGCTAACCACAAGGTCGGTGGTTCAAACCCACCAGACTCTTCAAAGGAGAAAGATGAAGCTGTCTGCTCCCGTAAAGACTTCCGGTCTCAGAAATGCTATAGAGCACGTGTACTCTGTTCTAAAGGGTCGTTGTTAGGCATTGGAATCAACTCAGTGGTGAAGGATTTGGTGTTTTGGTTTTGAACAACAGTGGAAATACATAAGGAGAAAGCTTCTCCTACAATGATTCATTTCTTAATCTAGCACATACTGACATCCAAGTGTACAGCTATCCATGTTGGTTCATTCATCACCTCATTCCCTGGAGTGTAAGTTTGTCAGGGAAACGTGTTCCTCAATGACTTCCCTGTACTAGGCCACTGCCTTCTTCTATGGCTGCCTCACAGATGTTTCCAAAACAAAAATTCGGATCTCTCCTCCTGGAAGCCCTCCAGGCCCTTTCTTCTCTCCCAGAAATCTGGTGGCAGAACAGCAGTGGCCTCTCAGGAGTCCTGCCCTTCCTCATCCGATTTGATCACGTAGACCCCAGCACCAACCTTTCAAGAAGCTCAGGTCTCGCTCAGGCTCAGATCTGACCAGCTTCCCCTTCTCGAATTTGCTTCCAAAGAGGTTGGTGGGGACATAGGCACCGAGTGCAGGGTAACCAGCATGGTGAGGGGTGAACTCGAACCAGGTCTCTGCAGAGGCAATACAAGGGTGAGCTCCCCGCACAGCACCTGGCCCACAGCATGAGCTCAGAAGACATCCACTGAATGAGGAATTATAACCAAGATGCTCGAATATTAGAGATAGACTGTGTGGTCCCTTATGTAACTTAGAGATTCCTTTCCCAGGCCTTTGAGAGTCAGTTCAAGTTCAACTGAGGGCAATTTGTTACTTCCACAGTTTCTGCTATTTCCCAAAACTTGAACTTCATCTCTATCCTCTTCATCATCCATTTCATTGTAGCTGTCGCTCAGGGGTTCTGGGAATGCAAGGGAAATGGGTAGCCTCGGGTTTATCTGTACACAGATAAAGGTGGGAGAATATTCTATAGGAGAAAGGCCTAGAAACATCCATTAAGCAGACATAGAAGAAGGTGATGAGCTAGGACAAGGAGGCCAGAGAAGAAGAATGCAAGAATCTTCTATGGAGGTTGGAGAAGAGGAAAATGGATTCGTGTTAGTGTTAATCATTGCCTTTGAGTTGATTCTAGAGCTGCCCTTGACCTTTCAGAAGTAGATCGACAGGGCTATCTTCCAACCCAACATTCCTGCTAATAGTGGAGCGCTAGCTATTTGTGTCACACATGGACTTCTTGGATTAAGTTGAGGAGAGGTGATCTCTAGGTACTGGGGCTGGCTGCATGTGGGATGGGGGTGACTGACTGTCTAGGAAAAGAGACAAGTCACTAGAGTAGGGCACCATGTTTGCTAAAGTGGTGGTTGTTGTTGTTAAGTGCAATTGAGTCAGTTCCAACTCACAGCAACCCTGTATAAGGTTTCCAAGGAATCATTAGTGGGTTTGAACTGTCAATCTTGTGGTTAGCAGTCCAGCGCTTATCCTAGAGCGCCATACCAGGAGTCCTGGTAAAATGGAAGGTCAGTAAAAAGAAAGAAAATCCCCCATGAAATGGATTGGCATACAAGTTGCAACAATGGGCTCAAACATACCAAAGATGAGTTGGCGGTTCGAACTCACTCAACAACTCAACGGAAAAAAAACCCGGTAAGCTGCTTCCACAAAGATTACAGTTTAGGAAACCCTAGGCGAAGTTCTACTCTGTCACATGGGGTCACCATAAGTCAAAAGCTGACTTGACAACACCCAACAACAATGTTGTTTATTGTTGTTAGGCGCCGTGGAGTCAGTTCTGACTCCTAACATCTTATGCACAAGAGAATGAAACCCTGTCTGGTTCTGTGCCAACCTCACAATTGTTGTTATGTTTGAGCCTACTGCTGCTACCACTGTGTCAATCCATCTCATTGGGGGTCTTCCTGTTCTTCACTGACCCTTCATTTTACCAAGCATGATGTCCCTCTCCAGCCCACATCCAATTATAGGAGAATTTTTCAGTGCCCAAATTGCTGCTATAGGAGAATTTCACTGCTCCTGGGATCCCCCAAAAGGACCCTGGTGGTGTAGTGTTTAAGCACTTGACTGCTCTAACCAAAAGGTCAGCAGTTCAAACCCATCAGCTGCCCTGCAGGAGAAAAGAACTACCAATCTGCTTCTGTAAGATTACAGCCTTGGAGCCTCCATGAGGAAGTTGGTTCTGTTCCATCTTGTAGGGTCCCAAGGAGTCAGAATCCACTCAAAGGCCAAAGGGAAGGGAAGGTCAGGGAAACATCACACGTTTCACTCAAGGCTCTTCAACCCAACCCTACCTCTCCCACCCCAGGGATGGGTGCTTACTCTGAGTCTTTTTCTTCTGCCAGGCGGTTTTGAGGTCATCGTCAATGGCTGCAAATATTGGGTAGGGCAGTGTCCCTTCTTCCACATCCTTCGCCAGGCTGGACAGACAGGAGTCTTGCAGCTTCATAGAGAAGGTACCGAGATGAAGTGTGGTGGAGACAAACCAAAAACCAACCCAACCCCACTACCATCGAGTCGCCTCCAACTCATCGTGACCCAATATCTAATTTCTGAGACTGTAATCCCACAGCAGCAGACAGATTCACCTTTCTCTCATGGAGCGGATGGTGGGTTTGAACCGCCAACCTTGTGGTTGGCAGTTCAGTGCTTATCCTACAGCATCACACCAGGACTCCTTGTGGAGACACACAGGCATCATTATGTCTTCCCTCACTGGATGCAGAAGGAGTCCTGGTGGCGTAATGGTTAAGTGCTTGGCAACTAACCGAAAGGTCAAAGGTTCCATCCCACCAGCCACCTCAAAGTGACATCTTTGGTCTTTAATATTTTAAAGAGGTCTTTTGCAGCAGATTTGCTCAATGCAAATATGTCGTTTGATTTTTTTGACGGCTGCTTCCAAGAGCGTTGACTGTGGATTTGGCAGCTTCCAATTTTCGTAGATTCACACTTTGTACATTTCATGTTCTGATTCTTAATAGAAGTTTACATTTGTTTCTCTTCCTTTCGAGTTGGGCTCCATCATCAAATGAAAAATCCCAAAAGCTTTACTCCTTCCATGTCACTGAGGTCGACTCTACTTTGAGGAGGCAGGTCTTCCCTAGTTCTATCTTGAGTACCTTCCAAAGTGAGAAGTTTATCTTCTGGCACTGCTCATCATAAGGTTTTCTGTGGCTAACCCTTTCATATCCTCACAAGACAGACCGATACAGTGGCAGCAACAATGGGTTCAAACATAGCAACTATGGTGAGGACGGTTCAGGACTGAGCAGTGCTTCCTTCTGTTGTGCAGAGGGTCACTGTGACTCAGAGCTGACTTGGTGGCACCTCACAACAACACCAACTTTTCAGAAGTGGTCCATCTCTCCTCCTTCGTAATCTGTAAACCCTGCTGAAACCTGCCCAGAATGGATGACCCTGAAGTCTTTGAAATTACCAGTGACATAGCTTCCAGCATCACAGCACCATGCAAGTCACCACAGGACGACAAACTGACATACAAGCAGTGGAAAATTAACATGTGATCAAATAATTAATTCCGCTCCTAGGTATTTACCCAAAAGATTTGAACGCAGTGCCACAAACAAACACATCTACACCTGTGTTCATTGCAACACTGTTCACAATAGCTACGTGGTGGAAACAACCGAAATGTCCACCAACAGGTGAATGAATACACAAAATGTAGTATATACATGGACTCCTGGTGTGGAGCTGCAGGATAATGTGCTGGACAACAAGGTCAGTTTGAACCACAAGGTCGGTGGTTCAAACCCACTAGTTGCTTCTTGGAAACTCTATACATGGTCGCTATGGGTAGGAACTGACTCGACGGCACTTCACAACAACAACAAGAATATACAGTCACACAGTGGAATAGCACTCAACCATAAAGTAAATAAAGTTCTGATGCATGCCACAGGATGGATGAAATGACATTAGAAACATCGTGCTGAAGGAAATTAGTCACTAGTGGACAAATAATGTGTGATGTCACTTTCATGAATTAAGCAAACACAGTGAATCCTGGGAGCGCTGGCATTCAATTGGACTGCCTTGTTTTTCCAGGTCTTGAAGGTTTTCCGCCTCGGACAGGATGCAGTCTGACCATTTTTCTATTACTCGTATTAGTGGAAAATATTCGAGTTTTTCGTCTCTGGCAAGTTTCCGTCTTACACAGTCCTGGCTTCTGCAGGTTTTACTGTATATAAATACTAAAAATTATGAACGGTAACTAGAAGTGGGAGGGAGATACATAGTAGATCCATACAATGGAGGGAGAGAGTTTTTGCTTGGGAAACGTTGTTATGTTAATAGTGGTGAAGTAACTTGGAAAAGAAGAGCAAGAAAGGCTACACTGAAGAATGTCGCTAAATTATGCATGTGTAAATTGTTGAATTTATAAACAAATCTGTGTTGGAAGAAGTACAGCCAGAATGCTCCTTAGAAGCCAGGATGGCGAGACTTTTTCTCTCATACTTGAGGTATGTTATCAGGAGGGACCAGTGCCCGGAGAAGGACATCATGCTGGGTGAAGTGGCGGGTCAGCGAAAAAAGGAAGACCCCCAATGAGATGGAGTGACATAGTGGCAGCAGCAATGGGCTCAAGTATAACAATGGTGAGGATGGCACAGGACAGGGCAGTGTTTCGTTCTGTTGTGCACAGGGTTGCAATGAGTCAGAGCTGACCTGAAGACACCTAGTGTTGTTGAATTGGAGTGTTTTATTGTCTTACTCTCCACAATAAAACAAAAGGAAGGGAAGGAGGGATGGCCAGAAGAAAATGAAAGAAGGAAATGAATGTCAGTAGCCAAAAGGTCAAAACATCCAAATGCCCATCAGCAGATGGAAGAATAAATGAAAAATGGTAGATCCATACAATGGAATGTTCTTCAGCCATGAAAACCAATGAAATTCCAGTGTAGGCTACAACGTGAATGAACCTTTAGAACATGATGTTGAGTGGAAGAAGTCAACCACAATGGACACATATTATATGAGCCCACTTAGATGAAAAGTCTAGAAGAGGACATCCATAGAGACAAAAAGTGGACGGGCAGTTACCTGGGGCTGTGGGGAGGAATAAGTGGAGAGTTGTTGCTTAAATGGGCACAGTTTCTGTTTGGGACCATGAACATGTTCTGGAAACAGACAGTGGTGATGTGTAAACAACATTGTAAGTATGGTGGTTATGTGTAAGTGTAAGAGTATGTATAATTCATGAATTGCACACCTAGAAATGGTGCAAGTGATAAGTCTCATGCTGTGTCCCTTTTACCAATAAGAAAAATAAATGTCATCTTTTCTGTCTCTTTCCATGATCCCCAACTCCCACTTGCAAGTGTCAACTACCTACTGCCTACCCGTAAACCTTAGTCCTGCTCCTCAACTTTGGGGAATTAACTTTGGCTTATGAGAAAGGCTCTGAGGAAGACTGCCCTGTTTGGTCGCCCAGGTCTACCACTTGCTACCTGGGTGAAATTGGGAGATTTACCACATGTCTTCCTTTCTCAGCTCCCTTCTCTGTATAATGGGCATTTTGACTTGATATTGTCCCTCATGTTTTATACATGGAATGGATACACAAATGTGCCCCATTCATACAATGAACTATTACTTAGCCATAAGGAGAAATGAGGGATCTCTGTGGCTCTGTAGGATAAGCACTGGACTACTAACCATAAGCTAGATGGTTCGAGCCCACCAGCCACTCCCTGGAGAAAGATTAGGTTTTCTGCTCACGTAAAAATGTACAGCCTCTGAAACCCTATACAGGTTCACTATGAATCGGAACCAATTTGACTGGCACTTACAACACCCGCAGCATGGCTACATCTTAAAAACATCAGGAAGAGTGAAATAAGCCAGTCACAGTGGAGCAAATATTGTATGATCTCGTTCCTATGAAATATCTAGAATAGGCAAATGTATACATACATCCGATGCCAGCGAGCCTGTCCCAACTCTGAGTGAACTCAGAATTGCCCCCATAGGGTTTTCACGGCTGTCATCTTCACAGGGAGAGGCAGCTAGTTCAGCCTCACATGGAGCAGCTGGTGGATTTGAACAGCTGATCTTTTGGTTTGTAGCCAAGCACTTAATCACTGTGCCACCAGGGGTCCTAGGCAAACGTATGTTGATGTAAGGTGCCGTGGAGTCGGGTCTGACTCATAACAACTCGCTGCACAACAGAACGAAAGCCTGCTCGGTCCTGCGTCATCCTCAGAATTGTTACGTTTGAGCCATTGTTGCTGTCACGGTGCCAATCCTTCTCCTTGAAGGTCTTCCTCTTTTATACTGACGCTCCACTTTACCAAGCATGATGTCCTTCTCTAGGAACTGGTTCAAAGTACATGAGACTAATTCTCACCAACCTCATTTCTAAGGCGCATTCCAGCGAAACTTATTCCGAAACAGGTTTGTTTGTTCTTCTAGCAGCCCGTGGTATATTCAATATTTTTGGTCATCACAAAAACATCAATTCTTCTTCTTCAGTCTTCATTATCCGTTGTCTAGTTTTAGCATGCATAGAAGGCGGTTTAAAAGACCCTGGCTTGGGGGAGTCATTGTTTAGGAAATACTGAATTTCTGTTTTCTTGTGAGTTGCTATCAAATCAAATTTCCACTCATGGCACCTCTGTGAGTGCAGAGCAGGACGGCTCCATATGGTTTTCAGGCCTGTCTTCAGAGGTACCTCTGTGTGGGTTTGAACCAACAACCTTTTCGTTTGTAGCCCAATACCTAAGCATTTGCACCACCCATGGGGTCTTGAGTGTGTCTATGGTGATAAAAACTTAGCAAAGGATACTGGTAACGATTGTACAACTAAATAATTGTTCCGTGCCTTCAAGTCGCTTCTGCTCGTAGCAACCCTGTATAGGGTTTCCAAGGCTTTTAAAACCTTTGCAGGAGCAGAAAGTCTCATCTGGTGGGCTCCAACTGTCAAGCTTGCAGTTCACTGTCCAGTGCTTATCCTATGGCACTCCCGATTAGCTAATTGGCATCACTAAATTGTGCATGTGAAAAACAGTAGGTTGGTAAACATGGTGTTATACAGAAAAACCTGTACAAGGCAGAGACCTGTCAAAGAAGGAAAACACAAGTATTTCGACTAAAACAAGTCACAGGTAAGACTGCAGACAGTTAAAGGCAGAAAATTTACAAGACCCAGAAAACCAATCCAGTCCCATCAAGTTCTGGCTTTCACAGGTTCTCCCTGCATATGGATTTTAGAACAAATTAAAAAGTAAATAACTCTCTTTGGGAACTTACACCTAGAGCGCTCTCATCCTGACATCCACCTCCTTCCTGTCCCAAACGGAAACCACTTACTTACTTCTCTGGTTTGCTTGGAGACGACCATGTAGGCCCAGAAGTCGGTCAGGGAATAACTCTCCAGTCTTGCTGCCTGGATGGTTTTCTCCAGACTCTTGCCCAGGTCCCACTCCTTCTGGTCAAATCGATACTTCAGTTCTGCCTCAATAGTTTCCATGTTACCATTGTTGGCATAAAATGAAGACAGTGCCCTGGGGGGCAGGAGAAGAGGAGAGAGTGGGGACTGGAAGAGCAGAAGGTGAAGGCTAGGGAGGGTGTATGTCTAGAGATTATCAACTCTAAACACCTATTTCCTGTAAGGGGTGGCAAGTAGGAAACGGACAGCCACAGAGCTAATAGAGCTGGCGGAAAATGACGACTCCAACATTATCTGAGACAATTCTTCTATTATGCTCTTATCCTTGCCCTGTTCTGTCTGTCGATGCTGCCTTGTGGCCACCCCATGTGTCTCAGAGTGGATTCAGCTCCATAGGGTCACAGGATGGACCCCACCAGCCACTCCACAGGAGAAAGATGTGGCAGTCTGTGCCCATAAAGATTGTTGTTGTTGTTGTTTAGTGCTGTGGAGTTGAAAAGGGTGGCTGGTGGATTTGAACTGCCAACCTGAGGTTCAAACCGATCTTGCGGTTGAAACCGACCTTGTGGTCCAGTGCTTATACGGTAAAGATTACAGCCTTGGAAACCCTGTTGTATTTAAGGGCCATCGAGTCGGTTCCAATTCATAGGGACCCTGTATGGGGTTTCTGAGCAGCTGGTAAGCTTGAACCGCCGACGTTGCAGTTCAAACAGACCTTGTAGTCCAGTGCATTAACCCGCAGCACCACACCAGGACTCCTCAGAAACCCTGTGGGGCAGTAATTCTGTACTAAAGGGTCCCTACAAGTGGGAATAGACGGGAGGGCAAGGGATAATCTCTATGGACGGAGATCCTCAGATCTTGCTTCTACAGCACCATTTGGTGCGACTGAACTGCCAACCTTTAGGTTCATTTGTGCTGTTGAATCATCAGTGCCAACTCATAGCAAGCCTGTGTAGGGTTTCCAAAAGTGGCTGGTAGGTTCAAACCGCCGACCTTGTGGCGAGTAGTCCGGGTTAGTCGTTGAATGTAAACGGTTTGCACCACCCAGGAACTTTGTTGCACCAGCCAGGGAAGGAACGCTCCTCAAAGATCAACAATCAGTACGATTATGCTCGATACCCAGATTTCCCATCAAAGAACGACACTCACCAAGTGGACCCAGAGACCCCCGCGAGGTACGTGACAGCATCCAATAGGCTGTGCCTCTTCATCTCACTTAAGACTCCAACGCAGGCGATGTGGGCCCGCAGGCCGCCGCCAGAGCAGAGCAAGGCAATGACCGGGACCTAGGCGCGGGAAGCGGAGTCTTAGAGGGCGTGCCCCGGGGGTGGGGCTAAGAAATTCAACAGGGGCGGCGTCTGACCCTGAGGCTTTGACTCTCCAGTTCTAGTTAAGAAATTTGCAGCGGTACAGCCTTCTCCATCTTTTTCTAGCCCTTTCTCCCTTTTGCCTCAGATTTGCGATTTTTTCTGAGGCACAAAAATTGCTCCCAGTGCTCTCAAGAGACACACACAAACTGCTGGTCTTTATCAAACTCCTAATAATCATTATAAGGAGCTTTGGTAGCTTAGTGGTTACGAATCGGGCTGCGAACCGCAAGGTCAGCAGTTCGAAACTACCAGCTGTTCCGCGGGAGAAAGATGAGGCTTTCTGCTCCTGTAAAGATTTACAGCCTCGGAAACCCTGTACAGGGTCGCTATGGGTCGGAACCGACTCCACAGCACATAACAACAACAACAATAATCATTATTGGCAGAAATCACCCCCACCATCAGAACACGGGAAAGCAGTGACTCCATATAATAACCACTGCATTGGGAACCACAAAGTCCGAGGTTCGAGTCTGTCAGCCGCTCCGGAGGGAAAAGATGAGGCTTTCTGTTCCCGTGAAGATCTAAGGCCTCGGAAATCCTCTACAGGGTAGCTATGAGTCGGAAGAGACTCGATGGCACATAATAACAACAACAGAACACAGGATGCCTGGTGGCACCGTGGTTATGCACTCAACTGCTAGCTAAAAGAGTGGTGATTCAAACCCAGCATCCGCTCAGTGGGAGAGCATTCAGCTGTTAATCAAAAGGTTGGTGGTTCAAGTCCACCTGGGGCACCAAGGAAGAAAGGTCTGGTGATCTAATTTTGCAAAATGAGCCATTGAGAAGCTTATGGAGCAGAGCTCTACTCTAATACATACAGTCGCCATGAGTTAGCCTTGACATGATAGTTAATTGTAATTGGTATGATTTGGGGTATTTTTGCAAGGGGGATTCTTGGTGTGGTGCTGTAGGATAAACATTGAACTTTAAACCACAAGATGAGTGGTTCAAACTCACCAGCCACTCCTTGGAAACTCTATGCAGGGTTGCTGAGTTGGAACTGACACAAAGGCACTTAGCAACAGCTGTTATCTAAAGAGCAGAAGCCAGGAGGAATGTTGCTAAACTTCTTACAATGCACAGGACAGCCTCCCAACAACAACAAAATAAATCTGCCCAAAGTATTCTGTCAATAGTGCCAGGATTGAGAAAGCCTGGTCAACACAATACCCACTCTAACCCCCTTCCTATGCTTCATTCCATCAGACAGGCTGGAGAAGCTAAAGATTTTCCCAGCCTCCCTTGCAGTTTATGGCTAACAATGTCTCCATGGATGTTTCCTGGAGGGTTCTGGGAACTTTAAAAAATTTCCTGTTTAAAGGGATTGTTGTTATTATTAAGTGCCATGGTGTCAGTTCCAACCCATAGCGACACTGTCTAGGATTTAGGAGTGGCTGGTGAGCTTGAACCACCGACCTTGCAGTTTAAAACGACTTTACAGTCCAGTGCATTAACCCACAGCACCACACCAGGACTCCAATTAAAGGGCTAGGCCCTGCCTTCCCAAAGCCTTGGAACATTGTGTTAAATGAAGATGTGCTTGGAACTGTAGTTGTTCTGTAGCCATGAAGCTATAAGAAAGTGGTGATGGCTATGTGCCGTGGAGACAGTTCTGACTCATACAGACCCTGCACAGGGTTTCCGAGGCTGTAAATCTTTACAGGAGCAGAAAGCCTCATCTTTCTCCCGCGGAACAGCTGGTAGTTTCGAATTGCTGACCTTGAGGTTAGCAGCCCGATTCATAACCACTAGAGGAAGGCAAAAGGTCAACCTCTCAAGAACAGCTAAGAAGAAAGAGGGAGTCTGGACTCTGGATGGCATCACTGATACCTGTAACCACAGGATCCCTCAGACTCCTTGCTATATGAGAAAAACTAAGATTGCTTGCTTGAGCAACCACTGGTTGTATTTTATTGCTTTCGGCAGAATGCATTCCTAGCCACACCACAGAGCTATGTGGGAAGCACAAAAGACAAAAGCAGGAGATGAATTTCAGTCATGCATCATCATATGACTGGTTTCACACTGGATTCTCTTTCCTGCTCTTGCTGCAATTGGAGACTGAATTTACAAGCATCCCAACATTTAAACCAACCTCCTTTCTTTCTTCCCTGTTTCTTGCTGACTCCAGCCAATCCCCTTCAGTCTGATGGCTGTGTAAACCTGGCAGTGTAAGCCCATGTACCTCCCATCTTCTCCTTCTTCTCCAGCTCTCCTGGTCTGAGCTGTTCCCCAGACACAGAGGACACAGAGGGCATAACTGAGCAATCCCAGTGTCCACCTTCCTTCCTACCTTATCAGTGTCAACATCCAGCTTCTTCAGGGCCTTCAACACATTGAGACTGCGTTTCTTCACGGTCACTTCCTCCTCTTTCTGGAGCCCAGGAATTATGAAAACCTCAGAGCTTCCCAGAGTAAAACCAAACAAACAAGAAATACCATGGATAAGGGTGATGATTGGACAACATGATGATGAACATAATGAATACATGTGAAAATTGTTGCAATGGTCAATGTTTTGTTACATATATATTTGACAACACACACTCCCATGGAGAGAAGAGATAAAACACAGAGTTTGATCGAGAAGGTGTGGACCAAGAAGGTAGCCACCAACCATATGTGGCTATTTAGCAAATGTGACTGGTCCACATTTAGTGGTGAGTGTAAAGAATACACATGGGATCTTGAAGGTTTAATACCAAAAAAAAATAATTTAGAATATCTCATTAGTAACTTTCATACTGATTACTTATTGAAATATTTTAATATATATGTAAAGATAGTTACAAATTTACATGTATATAAATTAAATATATTACTGAAAGGAATTGCATGGTATAGTCATTGTGGAAAACAATTTGATGTTTCCTGAAAAACTTAAACAGAGAATTACCATATGACGGAGCAATTCCACTCTTAGGGATACAGCTGAAAGCAGATGTTCAGACAAAAATATGTACATGAAGAAGCAAATTCATGGAGACAGAAAGTAGATTAATAGTTGCCAGGGAGCCGGGGAGTGGGGAGTATGTGCTTAATGTATGAGTTTTCCACTGTGATAATGAAAATATTCTGGAATATTAGTAGCGATGGTTGTATAACATTGTGAAAGTTGTAGCTGTTTTTGTTGTTAGATGCCATCAAGTGGTTTCTAAGTTGTAATGACCCCATGCATGCCAGAATGAAGTGTAGCAGACCTGGGACCCTCCTGCCCTGCCCCTTACCCCCTTAGACAAAAAACAACATGTATCCCCCTGGCCACTCTGTGCATATAACAGGAAAATTGCAAAGCTGAAACAAACCTTGCAAAATTGACTAACAGGAAGAGCATTTAGCTGAAAAAGTTTCACTCTACAGCTAACAACACCTGTTTATGCACCCATATGTAACCAACCTGTATATAAGCTCACTTTTTCAAGCACTAGGGGTCAGAGTGGTTTAAGCAATAGCTGACACACTTTCCACTGGCAATACACTTGCTCTCCTGAGATCCGGAACTGAGTCTCTTACCGTAACAGAAGCACTCCCCAAACCTGTACCATCCTCACAATCATTGCTATATTTGAGCCCCTTGTTGCTGTCACTGTGCCAGTCCATCTTGCTAAGGGTCTTATTCTTTTTTCCTGACTTTCTACTTTACTAAGCATGATGTCCTTCTCTTGGGACTGATCCCTCCTGATACCTCTAAAGCAAAAGAGACAAAGTCTCACTATCCTGACTTCTAAGGAGCATTCTGGCTATACTTCTTCCAACACAGATTTATTTGTTCTGGCTGTTGGGAGCAGCTGACTTGGAGGTAGTTTAACTGAAGGATTGCAACTGAACAGTTGTGGTCCAGAATCTTGGGCTGCTTCCAAGTCAAGCCCCGCCCCTGAGGAACTTACAGGGCTGCCTCAGGGGACAGGCAATTTGCAAGGTCCTTCCTTGTATTTAGTTATGTCCTTGGCTCAGCCTGCACAACATTCTAACTGCCCTAAACAGTGTGCCAGGAACTCTGCTAGCATCGTGGTTATAAATGGGGCTGCGAACCTTAAGGCCAGCAGTTCGAAACTACCAGCTGTTCCGTGGGAGAAAGATTAGGCTTTCTGCTCCTGTAAAGATTTACAGCCTCGCCAACCCTGCACAGGGTCGCTATGAGTCAGAACCGACTCCACGACACATAACAACAATCAGTGTTCCAGCTAGCTACCACAAGTTACAGTTTTTCTGATAAAGTTCTGCTTACTGCTGGCTCCTTCAGTACAAGATGTTCTTGTACTCCATACCCTCCCTGAAGCACCTCCCCTTGTGCTGAGTATGAAATAAACTCGGGCATTAAGTCCCAGATCTTCCCATTACTGACATGGAACACACCACCTTAAATACGCCAGTCCGTAAGGGACAGGCGGGCTCTCTGTCTCTCTTGACTATGAGTTCCCCCTCTCAATAAATCTGCCTGCTGTTGAAGCCAGGTTTCTAACCTCGTCTCTTTATTTCTTACACTTTTCAATCCACAAAGGGCTCCTTTCAGCCCTCCTTCAGATGGGCCTCTTTGGTTTGTACAACACCTTATAACTATTCCCCGTTTATTCAAGTAAGAACTATAACTATAGTTTCTGCCCCCCCCACCCCCCTACCCCCAGTATTTGCTATATCTTCTATTAGACAAATGTAGATGCTTTTCCATTAACTGGGCTTACCGTTCCATGGCTTACTGTATTTTGCTAGGAAACTTTCAGTTTCTCTGCAAAAATGAGAAGGAAAAAAAAAAGATTCTTAGTACGTCTTATCAACCTATTGAGCTTGTCAAAAACAGTGGCAAGAATTGGAGACCCATCCCTTCATCAAGACTTTCTGTATCCCCTGGAGCTTAAGCCTAGCCCAGCCCACAATGTTGTGGTTTTGGGATGCCACTAAGTTGATTCTTACTCATAGCAATTTTATAAGACAGAACAGAACTGCCCCATAGGGTTTTCAAGGCTGAAATGTTTAAGGGACAGTCCTGGGGTGGCGCTGTGGGTTAATGCGCTGGACTACAAGGTCGGGCAGCTCAAGCTCACCAGCTGCTCCTCAGAAACCCTATGCAAGGTTGCTATGAGTCGGAACTGACCCCTCCTATCTCTGCTTGGGTCACACACCCAGCCAGCATTCTCCCTATCAGATGGTGGAGGCACAGCCTAGTCTGATGGTGGAGACACAGCCTAGTCTGATGGTGGAGACACAGCCTTCCCCTCCACTCTCTCTGTCTTCCTGTCTCTTAACTATCTGCTCCAAAGGGTGCCAGAAACCCCGCCTCCCTTTCTGTAGTTCTGGTCCTTCACCTACAGGTGTCACTCTCTCTTCTACATCCCAGCATCTCCTTGCCACTCCTTCCCTTCCGGATTCCTCTGGGTTTACGTAGAGTTCTACATGAGCACAATTCTCTTGCCTCAGGATTCTATCCATAATTTGTCATGACCTACACAATCGAATGACTTAGCATATTCAATAAAACATAGGGAAATATCTTTCTGACATATTTTTTTCTCAGCTTTCAGCCAAGATCCATCTGACATCAGCAATGACATTGCTCCTTTTCTGAATCCAGTTTGAATTTCTGGCAGTTCCCTACTGGTGTATAACTGTATTTGTATTTGAATTGTCTTCAGCAAAATATTACTGTTGTTAAATGCCGTCAAGTATGCATAGGGTTTTCAAGGCTGTAAATGTTTATGGGAGCAAAAAGTCTCATCTCTCCTGTGGAGTAGCTGGTGGGCTCAAATCACCACACTCACAAAATGTTGCTAGAATGTGATATTAATGATGTTAAACTTTGTTCTAAGAGTTCTATGGTTTTCGTCTTTACATTGTCTTTGATCTAATTTTTAGTTAATTTTCGTATATGGTGTGAGGTATGAGTCCAACTTCATTTTTTCGGAATGCGATATCCAGTTGTTTTAGCACTTTTGATTGAAATGACTATTCTTAACAACCTAAGTATTAAGCCTTCAAACATGAATGTGAATTGTCTTTCCATCTATTTAGGTCTTCTTTTATTTCTGTCAGCAATATTTTATCATCTTTCATCTCCCTGATTATTTATTTCTAGGTATTTAGATATTTGAATGGAATTGTTTTCTTAATTTCCCTTTTAGATTGATCATTGCTCGTGTATAAGAACTTCATACCCTTCACTTTGCAGAATTCATTTATTAACTCTTTCTCTGTAATCTTTGTATTCACAATTTCTTTGGGTATCTTTTTCTTTTTCTTGCCTAAGACCTTCCACACAATACTGAATAACAGTGATTAGAATGGACATTTTTGTCTTGCTCTTGACAACGGGAAAAGTTCTCAGTCTTCTTCCACTGACTATGATGTTGTTGAGTTAAGTGCTGTTGAGTTGGTTCCAACTCATAGCAATGCTGTATGGGGTTGCTGAGGAGCAGCTGGTGGGTTTGAACTACTGACCTTGTGGTTCGCAGTCCGGTGCTGATCCTACAGTGCCAGAAGTAGCAGTGAGGTTTTCATAAATGCTGTTCATTAATATATGGAATTTCCTTTTATTCCTAATTCGTTGAGTGTTTTTACATGAAAGAGTGTTGGAGTTTGTCAAACGTTTTTTTCTGTGTCAAATGAGATGATCAAATGGCTCTTTTCTTTTGTTCTACTAAATTATGTTTAATATTGATTGATTTTCTGTACCACCCTTGCATTCTTGAAGTAAATCCCATTAGGTCTTGGTGTTAGAAATGAATCCCAATGTCGCATAAAAGACACTCGGTGAGACTAAATTACCTTGGCAAAGTAAAATTTACTCTTGCAAGAGGGTGCCTGCGCATAGCCGTACATACACGAACAGGCTAGCGAGCACACCGAGTGGGCAGTCCACTCGGGTTTTTAATCTCAAGGCTGTGTCTCACCCTATTGGCTAGGGTTTTGACCGCACAATCTATTCCCTTACTCGGTTGGCTAGTTCAAATTTTTAAGGCGCACATTCCTACTTTAGGAAAAGAAGAGAGGGGTCAGTCTTTGCTCCAGGAAGTAGTTTAAGGAAAGAGAAAGTTATCATAAATTCCTTACTCCAGGAAGTGGTTTAAATAAAAAGAAAGTGACCATAAATTCTTTACTCACTTCAGGAAGTAACCAAAGAAAAAGAGAGAGATCAAAAAGTCTTTACTTCAGGAAATAAAAAAGTTACCCGAATATTATAATAAACAGGATTATAATTTTTTTTTCTACATTGGTATATGTGGTAGTGGTGGTGGTTCCAACTCATAGAGAGTCTGTACAGGGTTTCCGAGGCTGTAAATCTCTATGGGAGCAGAGAGCTTCCTCTTTCTCCCATGGAACGGCTGATAGTTTCAAACTGCTGACCTTAAGGTTCACAATCCGATTCGTAACCACTACGCTACCAGAGCTCCTTGGGTCATGGTATGTTGTTGTTGCTGTTAAGTGCCGTTGAGTCGACTCTGACCCATACCAACCCTGTATAGGGTTTCCGAAGTGTGGCTGGTGAGCTTGAACCAC